ATGTGAACCATAACAGAATCAGCACTCACTTCTTCAGCAAGGCTGGTTAGTGTGTTGACTTGCCTTTCCTCCCCTAAGCTGGCTGTTACAGTGTTAGGGGAAATCAAGCCAGGACTTGGGAAGTACGGAGGAGCCAATTTTTGTGCCAGGCATGGGCATAGTAAGTGGCTCTGCCTCTCACCAGCTGTGTGACCTTGAGAAATTACTTGTGTCTCTGTTTCCTCGCCTTCAGATTTGAGATATTAGATGTGTAAACTTCATAGTTTCACGCAGCCATTTTAAGTATTATATGTTAATACGGACAAAGTCCTTGGAAGAGTGCCTGGCACATCATAGGTGCTCATTTAAAGAACGAGGGTGATGAGAGCAAGTGGGTTGAAGATCCCTGCCCTCAGCGAGCTTATATAGCCTCCTCCTGAGGGCAGGCTCCTCCATCTGCAGATCCGATGGCCAGTATTGTTCCCTGATATTCACTGAGGGGAGAAGTAAAGAACTAACTTCCTTTTGTGTTCTAGTCTCTCTGCCCCCCTCTCCCCCGCCCGATTCCTAGTCCCAACTGAAACTCTTGTGCTGTAAATATTCTGAATACATAGTATAGTTATTTTGGGACTTGAGAATCCATATAACTAGTTCAACCAGACAGAGCACAACTTAGCTTTCTCTGGCCCAGAAATTCAGATCTTCCAGCAGCTAGATCTTTCGTATGCACATATCCATGTTTATTAGCGGGGGCAGAAGGAAGGGAAGAAGCCATGCTTAGGTATGAAAAGAATAAAAACAAAAAAACCGAACTTTTAGAAAAACAACCCAGGACAAAGCTCACGTTCTCCCCATTTCCTTTTAATACTGAACAGCATTCTTTATACAGTTGTACATGATTTCAAGTGCAGGAGAAAGAAACATTACTGATAGACTTTGGGGTGTAAAAGTATCACTTTAAAAGATGGCTAGTTGAGGTTTTATTTGACACAAGTATTTAAAAAAAATTTTCAAGTTTATAGTGTCGTCAAATCTTGTTTAATGTTAGGATTACAGCGAAGGCTGTGGAAGGTATTTTGTTTGCAGGGAGCGTTCACTGTAGCCCGACCTCCCAATGCAGCAGTGGTGGCTCTCACGCAGGAGTGGGGCTCCGAGCCTCCTGGGGGGCTTGCTAAACTCGGCTGCTGGCCCCACCCAGGCTGGGATTCAGCAGGTCAGGGTGGGGCCTGCACACCGGTATTTCTAGCAAGTTCCAGAGGATGCTGCATCCTTGGTCCCACAGCACACCTGGAGACCCACCGTGTAGAGAGAGAAGCGAGCGCTCTCTCTCCCTGTGGTGAGGGCTGTAAACGTCTGGCACCAGGGCTCCGGCGCTCTCCGTGGGGGTCGGGGACAGAGGAAGTCACCCAGGTGTTCTCAGTTTTAATCCTTGATCTCACTTTAGTTTGTACCTTCTAGTTACTTAACATTAAAATGCTATCAGGTTATTTATCCTTGCGAGAAAAATAGACGGTTAGTCCTGCTGAGCACTGCCATGGATTACATTCTATTTTTAAATTACACAAATTTCTAATAACAAGTGAGCTAGGGAAGGCATATTTCCACTTACAGAAAATGAATCCATAATCACCTACAGCTCGCTCTCTCTGGCCCTTCCCTGTTTCCAGACTATTCCCTGGGCACTCTCCCAGCCTGGTCAGTTAGGACACAATCACATGGCATTTACGAGCAGTTCCAGTAACTTATTAGCGACACCTTACCGAGGACACCTGGCTGGCCTCTCCTCACCCCGCACAGACGGCAGGACACTCCGTTTTCCTGAGGATGAGGACATCTGCCTCTCCCAGAACAGACCCTAATTGCAGAGTCGAAAATGCCACTCAGTAGTGGGTCTCAGTTAACCCTACTTTCTACAGAGCAGGAAAGAGCCACCTTGAACTTGGCCCAACCCCAGGGGTGACAGGAAGCTTAACTGGAGTGCAGCACTGGCTGCTGCCGGGGCCGGGGGAGCTTTGGTCAGAGAATAAGGATGCTGGGTGGTCTTAATCCAAAACCCCCTGAATAATCAAGTGGCTTCTAGGTTTGAAAACTCAACCTAGAAGAAATGGTAAAATACACTTTCTCACGAGGGTCTGGCTGCAATTGGCAAACCCGGTCCATGAAATGTCCATGTGAAAGCCAAGCAGTGGGGCAGGTCACGGGGCCATCTAGGCACAGCTCCATGGCACAGCCTTGGGCAAGGGCAAAGGTCACGTCAGAAGGAAAACAGCACCAACGTGTGAGTTTATCTCAGAAGGAAACAAGTTCTTTTTCTTTCTTCCTCACCTCCCCAAATATCTGTATCAGTAAAGACACCATGACATAGAGAGCTCCCATATAATGTATATGTAGGTGGCACAACATGACGGAGGTGCTTCGGTGTTTGTCCAACGGCAAATGACATCAAACAGCTGGGGTGACATGACAAGTTACTACCAGCCTACCTTAAGTCACATCACCGAGGTCAGCTCGTCCCAGGTGTGTGGCCCCTGGGCCATGTCCAAGATGCAACGCCCCAAATGACCCTCATGTGTCTGTTGGGGGAGCTGTAACTGTTTCAACTTTGAAACAAGGAGACTGAACTAAGTGGTCAAGTCCACTGAGCCTCTTAGAGACACTAACCCCAGAAGTCAGCTGGTTTGAAGTTTCCACCCCAGCACCAGGCTTCAGTCCCAGAGGGTCACAGCAGGGCTGGCCTCGTCTGTTCCAGTCTGAAGGGCTGTTCTCTACTCTTTCGATTTCTGGACTGGACCCTGACAGCAGTCTCCCAGCGAGCAGAACTGACCTTGGTTAGGGAAGGCGCAGAGGGACTGAGGGGCTGTGAGAATCCTTTGCTTTCTCCTCTCTGTTCTTGATGGACAAAGAACACTCTTTAAGGGAAAAAAAATTCTTAAAAATATCTGGGAGGAAAAGAAATGCCAGCGAGAGGAAGACAGAGGGAGAATTAAAGGTAGTTAGAACCTCAGCTTTCTAGATGGTCCGAATGTTGTATTGTTAACAAATTCGTCCTGCAGTTTATAAGGGAAAACTGAACAGTTCAAAATCTACAGTTGGAAAGCAACTCATATCTATCATTCAGCACTTAGATCTTCCAGCTATGAATTCTCTGGAAAGGTACCGGGCTCACTTTACAGCCAGGAAAATTACCAGAAGAAAAATCCTGGCTCTGCTACCTTCCCATACAGAAGGTACAGCACTTAACAGACAGATTTCGGTTGGAGTTAGACCGGATTTCTCTTCACAGCCCTTAATCTCACGAGGTGAGAAAGGGGGGAAGTTGCCAAGCCGTTGGCTCCCAGACCCATCAGTCTGTTTAACTCTGGCTAAAAGCAGAGAATGATGGGCAAGTTACCAAGTTTCTCCCCCTCGGGCTCTGGCATGAAGATGCTCATGTAACACACAACTGCAGCACGCAGCGGCACACAGGGAACACGGCGACTGTTCACAGTCCCCACAAAGACGAGATCAAAGGTTAGACTGAAAACTAACCGTGACTTGAGTTTGCAGTTGGGTTCCTACCACGGCAGACTGTCTCAGTGGTTCACTCCCAAGCCAGCTGATTAGTAAGATGTTCTTCCCATAAACATAAACTGAGCCTTCTCTGTGACCTATCGCATTCTGCCCGTTCTCCACATGATGGGCATGGGGTGAAGCGTGAAGACTGAGGGAGGAGAGCCCACCTTGCCTCAGGATGGGAGTCTAGCCTAACCATAACCTAAGCCCTGGCTTGTTCTCTCTCTCTCTTTTTAAAATAAATGTTTATTGATTTCAGCCCTAGCTGGTTTGGCTCAGTGGACAGACAGAGCATCAGCCTGCAGACTGAAAGGTCTCGGGTTCGATTCCCACTCAGGGCACATATACTATATAATTTTTATTGATTTCAGAGAGGAAGGGAGAGGGAGAGATAGAAACATCAATGATGAGAGAGAATCATTGATCAGCTGCCTCTTGCATGCCCACTACTGGGGATCAAGCCCACAACCTGGGCACGTGCCCTTGACTGGAATTGAATCCAGGACCCTTCAGTCCGCAGGCTAACGCTCTATCTACTGAGCCAAACCAGCTAGGGCCTGGCTTGCTCTCTTGGAGTGCTAGTTTGGAATCTGGGTGGGGGGCCTGACCACTCATCTGTAGGGACCGCCCAGTCTGGGCACAACAGGCTCAGACCCAGGATCAAGCTAGTGAGGCCAGAGTGATGCCTGGGGCAGAGCCAGCTCTGAGGCCACACTACGAGGCCGGCTGCCCAGGAACAGCTCCGTTGCGGGTGGAGGGCAGTGGCCTACAGGGAGAACATACATAGTGCTTATATTTTCAGTAAATGTTCTTTCTAAATATTTCTCTATTCAGCTTCGGCCAGTGAGTCTGCTTTACAATAACCACTGTTTAGCTGACACCTGAAATGGGTGAAGTCAGCATGCCAATTCTAAATATATCCAGACATTGAGTCATTAAGCCTCAGGATCTCAAAACTTAGTCCCTGAAGTCAGGGGAATGTCTTGCTCATTAATGATCAAGTGTGTTCCCAGCAGGCCCTCCTGACACACGCGACACAGTAAATCTGGACAACAGCATGGCCCCTAAGTAGGGCAGTCACGTAATTCAGACTCCGGTTCCTTGATGGAAGGTGGAGAGTGTGGATGAGAGCACTAAGACAAGGCCCACATTTTAAAAAAGTTTTAACAAAGACTTGTATATCTTAATGCAAATCTAAGGACCATCCCTCTTCTAAGTTTATAGAAGACTATTTGAATGTCTCAAAACTTTGTAAAACAAGTAATCTAGTACCCTACATCTCAAGCCCTTTGTAACAATTACCATTTTTTTAACTCATTTGAAAAGAAATTAACATTTATGTATCAAATAGAATTGGGTGTAAACATGGGTGTCAACCACCCTTTAAGTTTTGTAAATCTATTTTTAGCTTTCATCAACATGCAGACTGTCTTATCTACCAGCATCCTACACATGAGAAAATACCCTTCTTTAAAAAATTGTTACAAATATTTATTAAAAAGTGCAATTCAAAAGTTAGCTGGGCAAATACATCATTGCAAATCACAAAAAAAAAAAAAAATAGGAATAAAAGCCCCAAACAAAACAAAAACCAAGAAATACAAACAAAAGGAGAAAAAAAAGTTTGAAAAAGTTAGGAATGGACCCCAAAAGATTAGGAAATGAGAAGTCAAAGCTAGAACTCTATCTGATGTCACTGCGCTTCCCACGTGCAAAAGAGGACGGTGAAGATGCAGCCTTGGCCGCCAGGCTGCCTCGCTCAGCTGCTGCTTCAGTATTAGGTTATTCGTCAGGGAGGCTATAAAAATATCCTATGTACATGGGCACGTTGGACGCAGAGTCACCAGAAGCTTGAAGTTTAGTGTCTCAGCAACTAAAACTCAATGGAAGCTTCTGTTGTTTAAATTTGGATTGGCTCAGTGATTTGAATGGATAAAAATCAAGTTGTCATCTGAAGGGAAAAAACAACCAGTTCACCTACCCCTTTTTGCCATTTCTCACAGGGCTAGAAAAGCCTGGTCCAGAACTAGCCTTTTTTGTCATTACAGTTTCTGACTAAATGTAATAAATGTGCTAACCACTCCCAACCCCATCTGCCAAGGGAGAGAGAGCCACAGGATCTAAATCCATTCGTGTGCTGCTCAGCAGCCATATGTGTAAGGGTCATCCTAAAAATAAGCATTGCACCCCTGGGGAGGAGCCTGCAGGACAGCCACCTGAATTCAGCCAGGCTGTGACCTCCCATGACCTTGCCCCCTTCCCTCAGCTGTGCACACTCAGGGTCCTGCTCCCCTTCCTCCCTTCCATTCAAGACACAAGTTGTTAGCACTCCCAAAGCCCAGTGCTTTTCATGATTTCCCATTAGTTCTTACCACAAAAAGATGTGCCTGGAAAAGCAATCATCCCTGCAAAAAGAACCACTGCATTTTCTGTCCCAAACTGCTTCTGGGCCTTCTGTCTCCAGAATGACCAGCTCTCAGGGGCTAAAGAACACTCCCACGAGGGGCAGCGGAGAGAACCCAGGAGCCCCATTCCCGACAGGGTCCTTCTGGCTGCCGGCTGGGCAGGGAGAGGGTCTGAGCAGGAGAAAAGAGCTGCCAGAGACGGACGGACGCAATGAGCAACACTGAACACTAGCTGAGTCTGCGAATTGTTCTGGATTCCTCAGAGGCCCTCCACGGGGAACGAGGTCCAGGGAGCAAAGCAGAGGCAAGCTGTCCTCAGGACAGGACAGGTGGCGCCGGGAGTGTGAAGCTGTTAGGTCCTCTTCCCACCGGCCCCTCCAGCACTGGACGGAGGAGCTGCCTCAATGGTGGGGTCACCCAGAGAAAAGTCAGCGCGGGCTGTGTTCCCAGGAGTGGCAGGTGGGAGCCGGCACCGCGGGCTGCTTGTCCTCCTCCCGGTTCCTGTGCGTCACAGCACTAAGAAGAGGAGCAGCACGACCAGCAGGATGGCAAAGAGGACGGCTATGGCACACCACTGGCGCCGATCTGCGAGGCAGGACACGAGGGTTAGCTCTCAGGACTGGGCATTCCCCGAGACAGTCACATGGATAGGGGCAGAAACAGAATGTTGGGAGCCAGCTAGAATTGTAAGAAATATTAATCATGCTCTGTTAACCGCTCAGACGTGATTCAACCCTGTCTCTGCTGACCTGGCTCAAGGAGTGACAGGCAGCGCGGACCCATTGTTTGTCCAGTTACAACAAGAAACCTAAGGCCACACTCGGAAGCAGAAAAGCGACAGAACGTGCACATGACAGGGGCAGGGAGGCTCTTGAACTGCCCAGGTGCCTGGTCCTCTGATGCTGCTCTGCTCCTGGCCTGCACTGCACCTGCGTTTGCAGCTCTGCCGTCCCCAAGAGCTGCCCTGTGATAAGTATGTGCTTCCTATCTCAAGTCTTTAATTAAAACCTGTGTTTCTGACTTTAATTAAAGCCTGCGGCTCTTAGCTTTCTGCTGGTGGTTGCCACATCCTTGGAAAAGGTGTTGGCCCTGGCATTGCAGATCAAAGCCCATCTGCTTTCATCTCCCACCAAAGTAAAATCATTTAAAGAAGCAATAAATCCTGTCCTCTTCTCAAAGCACTATGGGAGGATGGAAAGGGAATGAAAGCTTCTGCTGGTCACTTCAGGAAACGAAGAGCTGAAAAAGCAAGCTCCAGGGATCACGAGCATGATTAATGACACCACATCTAGTGAAGAAAGAAGATTACTTAGCCAGTGACTGTGTTAAAGTAACTCCACGGCTTCTCTGTGAATGACAGTGAACTGTCTTTTCTGAAACTTTCTACCCCACCAACAATTTAGAAAAGGCACAGGCAACAAGGTGGTTGGAGTCCATTAAATGGCTGAGAGCAAGGAGGCCCTGAGGGACAGAGGGGCCCACGCAGGCCCCGGGGGAATCCCAGCTGCAGCCCAAGTCCTGACTCCACAACAGCTGCCTCACGGGGCTGCTGTGAGAGCTGAACAAGAACACCCTCACGCACAGTCTTACGGCCCACAGCACAGGATGCTGTCCTCGTCTAGATGGTTGGCTAACTTGGGAAGATGTAGAAAGCAAGCGGTCTTTCCATTGGTGAGCCCTGCCATTTCCTACAGGGGGTCTGATAGGAAAGTTTCACTAGCCTGTGAAAATGTAGGTCAACTGCTACAAATAAGAATTCCTTTTAAATAGAACTATCAACGAATACTGATCCATCAGAAGGTTGTTTGAAAGCCTGCACATTTTAGCACACCATGGCTACTGAGAATCACATTATAAAAAGATCTGAATCTAGATTGTATGACTTTCCACAGGCAACACTAAGTCCTTTTCTGAAGCAGAACTGCTCCAAAGTAGGCAGTTGGCCTACTCCAGAAGCTATTTTTAGTCTGTTTAATGATCACTTCAATGGTGAAGAACACTACAGTAACTTAACATTCTTTCGTCTATGTTTAAATGTTTACAATAATTTAAAACCACTGTCATTGAAAATAGTCCATATTCTTCCAGGACAAAACAGTCCAGGTGATTGCTTCCTAACCACCCCACCCCCATCTCACACCTAATTCCTGCACTCATCCCCCACCCCAGGCATCCTGCCACTTTCAAAACCAGATTTCCAACATTCGACCAGCTTTCCACCTTCTGGCTTCCCATTAGCTTCTACCAACACCCTGCCGCCCCCCCCCCCCCACCCCCT